TTGTATACCTGAAACTAATATAATATTGTATGTGAACTATAATTAAAAATTAAGAAAAGGTAAACAGCATAAAACAGTATTCAAAATTAATCCAGATAATTGCCTAATGAATACTGATGTTCTGAATATTTTACAAAATGCACTGTATTTTGTCTACATTGTCTACCATTAACCATAATATTAAGGTAAGACATGGCGTGCACTCTAGTTGGTACAATATTTTGCTGTTTTGAGCTATATTTTGTAATGAAATGCTACATAGCAGTTGAATATAATTTTTTCCATAATAAAAATAGCAAAGCATCTTCCCTGTTAGCCAATAACAAACAGTATTCATATCAAAATGAACCTATTAAAGAAAAAAGTGTGGCCTCTTTTACATACTTTTATAGCAGTTTGATAATATTTTGGCATAATCAGTGCTGGAATAAATCTAGTATATGTCTCAACAGAAAGTGTAAAAGCTGAATAAAAAATTGCACGAATCCAGTTTTATCATGCACAATTTTTAAAACGATGCTCAAAATTATACAGAACTATGCTGCTTAGGCATTTCTTTAATGAATTGGAGTGAATGATAGTGCTTTCTTATAAACAAACAGGCACATAGAAACAGTAAAATCGAAAGGAGGATTCAGAGAATTGCATTATGCTAATCCCAAGAAAGTCATTGTTGTGATGTAGTACAAGAACAGTCTATATCCCATTCACTTCAAATATGAAAATACACTGCGGAGGCCATTCAGAAGTTACTGTTACTTCATAGTATATTCAGCAAATCAATGTAATATGCATTCACTCTTCTGGCAATGTGGGCTGTCAGAGTTCCTAAAATCCACCAATTCATCTAGAAGGGATGACAGTTTGAGGTGTTTTTTTTTTATAAATGTAAAATTGTGAACTCATAGTTGTAGTCTCATGCACAGTATATTAAACAGAGAAGAATGCATAAATACATTTATTGAAATTTTACATAGCTTTATTATTGAACTTACTTTTATTATTTTATTTTTAAAAGGAACACCCCAAATATTTCATTTTTTAAAAAACATTTTATTTATTTATTTATTTTTTAGAGAGAGGGTAAAGGAAGGAGAAAGAAAGGGAGAGAAACATCAATGTGAGGTTGCCTCTTACACGCCCTGTACTGGGAACCCGGCCCACAACCCAGGCTTATGCCCTGACCAGGAATCTAACTGCAGACCACACCCAATCCACTGAGCTACACCAGCACCAGCCAGGGTTGAACTTACTTTTAAATATCAGTGTTATATATGTGATGAAAAATACAACACAGAAATAGCTTAATAAATATTAATTTTCTTAAAGGGAATTTGTTACTAATTAATGGAGTTTTCCTTTGACAAATTTTATAATGTCTTATTTTAAATATATTAATATATATTTTATGGGGCCACTAAGATAATTTAAGGCATAGTGTATCTTAAGTAGGCAAATGTGTTACTTATTTGATAATTGAAGTTTTGATTCCTCACTCAAATAATGCCAAATATAAAATTTTGTTATAACTAACATGGGTTATCTACATAAATGCATGCTGCTCTAGAATAGTAAAAATACTCAAATATTGTTGGTTGTAGCAGAAAGACATGTGTTTAATCCAAAATATTTTTAATGAGGATTTTACAGCCAAATACACTTAGAGTATTGTGTGAGGTCAAGTGCCAGACTTTCTTCATTCAGATTTGTACTTTAATCATTTCTTTTGTAAATAACCTTTAGGATCACACTAGAAGCTGAGTTCAAACCATTCTACCGAGAATCTAATATTCTAGTAATTTTGATGGGAGAAATTTTTTTAAACATGCTTTTCTAGAATTCTACTTTTTCCCTTAAGTTGGTATTATGAATTGAGATCTATTGGTTAAGGTAATGTTTTTCATACAGAATGCTGACTACATATATATATATATATATATATATATATATATATATATATAAAACTATTGGGTTAACAAGATAAAGAGATTAAGAAAAAACTAACTTATAAACACACATACACAAAAACACACAAATGAATATATTCTAAAGAACCAGAATCCTGTATTTAAACTCTATTCTATCTAGTCCTAACTATGTGATCTTGAAATATTTAAAAAAGCCTTAGCCCTGGTTGGTGTGGCTCAGTGGATTCCAAAGGGTCACTGGTTTGATTCCCATTTAGGTCACATGCCTGGGTTGTGGACCAGGTCCCATCAGAGGTGCACAAGTGGCAACCACACACTGATGTTTCTCTCCCTCTCCTTCTCCCTCCCTCCCCCTGTATCTAAGAATAAATAAATATTTTTTCAAAAACTTTAAAAGCCCTACAATATATCAATATATTCATCTTGAAATCCAGAGTAATAATAAAAGTTTCTAATAGGATTTTTAATGGATAACTTTCACAAGTTTAAAAGAGCATGACTGAATCTCATACTCACCAATATAAAATAAACATTTGTCCAAGTTGATGTTTGACTCACTATTTAATAATGGAAGCAGCAACATGTTATGAACAGTCTAGAGAACATTTAAGTATATATATAGAATAGATATAGAGGTAGGGATGAGATTTGATAGATTGCTGGGTAAAATGCAAAACTGACTAATGTTTAAAACCCATAAACCATAATACTTAGATTATGTCCTCTACTTGATGAATATTATTTACATCTCTGTAAGGCAAAATTCAACAATTTTTCCTCTGCCTCTAGAGGGTTGAAAATCAGTAAATAAATCCAACACTACATTAAAAGAATACCCATTAATCTCTTTTCCTTATATCCAGTTTGTGGGTACTTTTATTACAATAGTTTCTTCTGTTGTGATCAGAATCTCCAAGATTATTCTTGATCACAACAAAAACTGTTCTTGTTAGATTTGGCCTGATTATTTGTATAGATTCCATGAGAGTGTTACTTAACTCAATAAGCCTTCCTGAATTTGTTCTGTGAGTCAGGCTTGAAAGATTTTGGCAACTAATAATGTCAAATCATTAACCTCTGTGTATAAAGTTTCAAAAGTATCATTGATTGACTCTGAAACTCTATGGTTTATTCTTCATTTCTGAGGTTGAAGATCCAAGTCCAAGACACATTGTCCATGAGATTTTTAACTATTAATCTATACATTTGGGTAAAGTTCTCTTAAATTGAGATTCTTGATGATTTGTTAAGGTCCCTAAATTACTAGTGATCATTTATTTTTAGTAAAAAAATATTTGAATTCCTAAAACTGAGAGATTAAAACTTTATAATCCAGATAAGTCAGATTTCTTGGTAAGATATTACAGAATTATCTCCAAATATTATTTATCCCTATTCCTTAATATGTGTTTGTCACACCTGATTGAATGAATTTTTTCAAGTGTCATATTCCAAGTTTAGCCTTGATTGCACTATTGACTTCATCCAATTATATCCTGGTAACATGGAGGGCAAAGTCATATTGCATCTGTGCAAGTAATTGATTGCCATTCTAAGTAAGAAAACAGCAAACGTATTTGTGTTTGGTTTTTGAGGGGATAGTGAGAATCAGATATGAATTCAGATTGGCTCATTTCATCTTCAAAGAACATAATCTACTAAACTGTGGATTAGAGATATCTTAAACAAAAAAGAGCTTTTTCATATATCATGTAAAATAGAACATTAAAAATACTGCCCATAGTATTTTGTGAGGTTCACTTCTGAACAAAAGAGAAAATGAGCGCCTGGATTTACCCTCCCACATGAAACCCTCTTTCGGGTGTTGTCTGTATTTTTATACAAACAACATACTTTCGAAATTAGTTTTAGAATTTGATCAAGTGTCAGCTCAAGACATTGGTCCTGGAGCAAGGAAAACCAAACAGGATGAACCCTATGAATGCTCTAGCTATGCCTGATGCAAGTGACTCTCCAGGATGCGGAGGCGCGACTACAGACAAAAAGGTCAGAGTGATGTGATTACTTGATGCAAGGAACCCAGGAGCCCAAAATGGTTATTGCATTTAGAGGCTGACAGGTACAAGTTAACAGAAGTTCCCCGGGAGACCCCCAGAAGCACGCTGCCCGGCTGACATCTTTAAGTCACTGAGACCCAGTTTGGACTTCTGACGTCCAATATTGTAAAATAATCAATTTGGGGGTGTTTTAGAGCACTAAATCTGCAGTAAGTTGTTATAGCAGTAATAAAAAACTAATATGTCTTATGGATCAAGGCATATAATACTTACTCTCCTGTCACACCCTTTATAACTTGCTGTATTTCCTCAAGTTTGGTCTTTCATTATGTTCTTTCATATTCTGGGACACCCTCTGTTTACTCTTTAGGACAAAACTATTCATTCTAGCCTGCAAAAAAAAGTGAAAATATTTTTTTCACCTTGCATGCATGCCTCTATTTTTCTGTCACTGTTGCTCTGACTGGACTCTAAACTACCTATGTGAATAATTTTTAATCAAAGTATCTTCTAATTCACAGAGAAAAGTGGGAGGGGAGTAGAAAGCTCAGAATTGTGTCATAATCAAGTATTTCAGTAGAGTAGCAAAGCTTAAAAATGTACTTTAATACAACTTTTTACAGCCACACATGACTCCCTTACACATTTTTTAAAATGGGAAAAATGAGCAGACTCATTAGCTTGACTGAAAAATTCACTCTATAGAATATACAAAAGAGATAAGGACATATGTAAACTGAAATATACGCTTCATAATCAATGTTTTAGTATTCAATTTTTCTAAGAAAGTATTCACATGTCCAACATTGTTATCAATTAACTCAATTTAATAACCCACAATTTTAAGTTACCTAAAGATCATGGAAATAGTTTACACTGACAAATAAATTGGTGACATAAAAACTTTTATTATAAACATTAAATTATTATGTTATAATTAGTCTTTGCATTTGAAACAAACACAAATTTTTGTAAGTAAATAAAATGTACATGTAATTAGCCTCAAGAAAAAGACCTGTAGCTATTAAGTATTTTTCAAAACACACAAACTTTTATGTTTCCCTGGAAGAGAAGATACCACAATTGTAAAGGTGGTTTTCCTAAAGCCAAGCTGACCCATTGGGTGTGCTGACCCCTGCAATTGCCCGAATGTGGGAAACTCGACTGCATAATTTGCAGTACTGGGGGGCTGTGTTTGCGCTCTCCCCTGGAAGGAAAAAAGAAGGAAAAATGCCACACAAAATTATTATAACTGTCTTAAGATTTACCTTAACTATGAATATAGATTCTAAAAATGTTTCTAAGCTAGCAGTTTCTCTAAGGATTGCTTTTTTAAAAATAAAATCTGTATATTTACAGGACTAAGATTTGGTTTCTTTATTCTATGAGAATTCGAGAATATTTTATTTACTTAAACAATTATTAGTATCTACAAATGCATTAGTATCTATAAATGAAAGTGCTCCTTTCATTGAAGTAGGAAAGCATTTCAAACACAAAAAAGCAAATGTTTTCTCAATTACAAATCTGAGGAGTCCTAGATACACAATCCATATTTTTAGTTCTGTAATATTATCTACAGATGATATTGAAATACAATAACTGTTTCTATCTCAAGGGCTGTTTTCTTTCCTAGTGGATAAAAAATAGTTAATTGATCTGATCTCATGAATAGACAAACAAAAAGACTAACAAACTGGATTCTTTGCCATCTTTTATTCAACAAAGCATTGTTCTCATTTGTTGATCCTACCGAGTTCACCAAATGATGAGATCCTGAAACCAAACCCCAGTCATTGCTACCATCAATGAGAAATAAGTTATTACCAGAGTGTGACTCAAAACAAACAAAACAGAACAAACAAACAAAAGAAAGAAACAAGAAAATCAGGGAACAGAGTAGGGCCAAGTCCTGTTTTTATTTTTTTTTTGAAATTCTCTCTGGCTCTCTGGGAGCCAAGAAAAAACTAACTAACTAACTAACTAACTAACTAACTAACTAACCAATCTGCCTTCACTAAATAGCCCCATGAGGTACAAGTTGGGAAATTATTTTTCTTGTGAATCTCAAAGTTCTTCAGCAAAAGCAGCAGTTTGTCCTCTGGACTAACACTTCAGGACTTTTGTGGAGACAATGACCTTGGCAGAGAGTGTCTTCCTTAGTCCAGGTCAGGGAACAGATCTGTTCTTTATCCCTGAGGATAAATAAAATAGGTGATACCTCTCTTCAGAACAAAGACTGGACAGATTTTCTAGGAGCTCCTACACAGCCTACAATCACCTAAAACTGTGTTTCCTCAGCTGTGATACAAACACACTGTGTGTGGAATTCAACAGGCTCCATCTCTGCTTTGTCCCAAGGCCTTGGGGATGTGAGGGGAACCCAGGCGAACGTGAAGTTGATGCTGCATGCACTGCCGTAATAAAGTCCTTTCAGCTGACCCAGGAATCTCCTATCTCCTCCCAGCATCTATGAAACCAAGGCAAACTGAGTAACTTGTTACTTCTTGTAGGGCGAACTCACACTTCCACAATTCTCGACAGCATCATTTTTTAACTACTAGGTTTCTGAATCCTAAGTCTATTTGTGCATCTTCACAGATGCCAGCATAAGAAATGCCCAAACCTGTAGAGAAGTTTTATAAGAATTTATGTAAGTCTAAACTGATTACAGTCACCAGCTATAAAATGCTCTGAAGAATAATAGTTTTGTGGGGTTCGTATGCATTTGAATTTAAGGAGGGAACTTACTGAAGATTACATAAGGGTGGGAAAAAGCAAGAAAAGGGATTGAATTATAAGAATATGTGCTCTCTTAAGGAGTATCATTATTTCTGACATTTCAAAGTTATGTTAAGCTAGGAGCAGAAGGCCAATGGACAGGGCTTGTTTTAAGTCCTGGCTGGATAGCTCAGTTGGTTAGTGTGTCATCATATATGCCAATGCTATAGGTTTCAGCCCCGGTCAGAGCACATGTAAGAGGTAACCCAGTGAATGCATAAATGGGAGCAACAACAGATTGAGTCTTTCTCTCTCAAAGATCAGAAAAAACATTAAGACCTCTCCCTAAAAAAGTTATAGGTCTGAATTGTGACTATCCACCATGAACTGACCAGTTAGAAATGTATAATTTATCACAGCACCACATTTTTGTCCTCCCAGATGATCTCCAGAACTTATAAAGAATAAGTTTCAAAAATTAAAAAAAAACATAACTGTCCTACCAACACGGAATGAACATGCATCAAAGATATTCTTTAATTTATAAATTAATGGATAACTTACTGTGACTACTTCAAACAGCACTTGAGAAGTTAGATATAGAACAGTAAAACTGCTTGGTTGGATACAAACCTGGCTGATATTCAAATGGAATAGAAATCATAACTTTGATTCTCTACCAAAAGAAAAGAGTCAAGATAAACAGCCACTAAAATGCTGTGAAGTACTCCAATAAATAGTCTATTTCAGCAGTGCACTGAAAGAGCCCTCGGTAATCTTTTGCCTATGTCATGTTTCAGATGATGCCATTCACCTATGGTTGAGCCCATTCTACAGATTAATGTATTCAAAGCTCTTAAAACAGTTCTCGGCATATGATGTCATGCTCGGTGCACATTAGTTATAATTTTATTTGTTTGTTTATATGTTTTTTGAAAACCAAGTATAAATATTTCATCTAGGCAGGAAATTATCAAAGCTTAACTTTCTCCTGTTCATGACCCTACCTATAGGTGGTTAACGATAATGCATTTCCTATACACAGTCATAACTAAGTGCTATCAAAATCTTAGGCCACCTATATCAATCCGTTTTCCATTCTTATTTGACCATTCAAACTTTGTGTGTTAGGAGCATAATTAAAAGTATGTTGCAGTAGAATTACTAATGAAGCTCCTCTCAATCATGGTTCCCTGAAGTCCCCATTGTGTACAGGGTAGGACAAAAGTAGCTATACAATTGTAAGTATGTGAATGCAGAGTGTATTCTTACATTATCATTTATTAGTTATTGTAGTATTCTTTCCACATGAACTGCAAACCCACTTTTGCTCCACCCTGCATAATGAATTAACTTCTATTCACCTATAAGGTACTTGCTACATACCATTCTTGGGAAATGAAGAAAATAGTCGCTAAAATTACCTCAGCAGTTTTCCATCCTCCTGAGGAAGCCTGAGTGAGAAAGGCTGGAGCTGGACCAACAATAGCGACATAAGTCACCCCTGACAGCTTGTTAAAAACTTAAAATCTCAAGTTCTACCTCACACCTAGGGATTCAGAACCAAAATTCTATGTGGATACAAGGGATTTATCCTCTGGATGTCAGAGGATAAATCATCTAAGAGATGGTTTATGTAGTGGTTTCTTGTGAGGCCTCTGAAGACTGATGACTTTGGTTTCAAACCTGGTTCTTCCATTTAGTAGTTTTGTGACTTCTGCAAGATAAATAACCCTTTCATACTTTAATATCTTCATCTGTAAATTGGGTATCAGGATGCTATTTAAAAATTCATGGGATTGTAGAGTGGCGTTTTACATTTGTAAATGGTTTATATCAGCACCTGGCACATGTTAAGCTCTTGATAAATGAGGGTTATTCGTATTTATATCTATATCTCAGAGACTTTTTTATGGTTTTACTCACATTCAACAGTTGGATATATTTTAATTCCTCTTTTTCCTCATACTAAAACATTCAAAGATTTCAAAATTAGTTATCATTAGATAAATTATGTTAATTTTCATTTTAAAATTTGGTGTCATGTGATTTTCAGTTGTTATAACATTTATGTGTTTGAATTAATAAGTACACATGCACCTTACTGCAAAACTCAAAATCCTGAAATAAGAGAATTAATGAGATATTTAATCATTATATCTATGAAAGAAGAAAATTGGCACACTGAAATAACTTAGTCCAAGTGAAAAATTAATTATAGCCTAGGAAATATGAAAGTAAATTCAGATTAGAGACACTTTTGGCCCATAAACTTTGTAATCTGGCTGATTCTTGGCATTCCTATAGCAGGGATACCTTGGAGCCATAAACACAGGAGAGAATGCTCTTCAAAGAAGGCTATTATTCATGTAGAATTAGGCAGAAAATAACTTCTTACTCTAGAAGAATTCCTCCCTCTTTACTTTCATTATACTATGCTCTTATCTTTCTCAATGTTTTTGCCATCTTTTGCTGAAACACTTATTCTTCTACTTTCCTTAAAAATTTAATGCTCTATATATACTCAAAATAAAAAGCAATCATATCTATCTCCAATTCTTCCCATTCCCTCTCTTTTACCTTGTGTTTTTAAAATTACTTGCTAGCTTCATCAATGAGATTGAATAACATGTTAATGTGCCATTACTTGATTGACCACTTCAGAGCTGTAGTTTTACTTTGAACTCAATATAGTTAATTTTTATTATTGATTATCTATCTTTACATATTAAACTTAAGTCCTGGAAAAACAGACATATAAATTTCTTTTTTCTTACTGCTATACTATCAGTGGTAGAATATCATAAGGAAATTCTTTAATGACATGATAATAAAATTCATATATTGTACAGTATTAGATATTTTCCTTTTATGTTTAACTCATAATTAATCCTGAATTTATGTTTGTAAGCAAAATGAGCTAGAGTTTTACTGTTTTTTTTGATTTAAAGATAAATATTAAGTCCCCAATTATGAAGGTTCTGAGAAATTATTCTACTTGTAAGTTAACAGTTATCCTTCTACAGTTAAATACACACACGTGCAAATCACACCATTTACTCACATTGGGTATTAGCAGCACTTGTTCATCACTCCAAGTTCCCCACGAGGTGATGTAACGAGGTTCAGGTGTGCTCACTATACATGCTGTGTGGGGTTTGCACCACAGGAGAGGAACCTTAATATTAATGAGGCTCGGGTCCTATATAAGGTAGCTCTCAGATCTGTCCCTTCGCTTCCCCGGCAAAAAAATAAAGAACTTTGCTCTAGAATATAAACCAATCATTTTTGGAAAGGGGGAAATATTTCTAGGTCTATTACCTTTGGAAATTGTGAAAATGGATCCAAGTGAGTTGAGTCTTTAAATCTCTCCTGAGCAATTGACTATCACTAATTTCCAAAGCCTGTTTGTCATTCAATGATAAAGCCTAGACTGTGCTGAAATGTGAAAGTGTTTGTGGAGCCTTGTGTCCAACATTAATTTCTCTC